CGCTCTTTGTGTGTTCGTAGTTTTCGACGCGCCCTTTCAACGATAGCGCCCTACGACGGCCCTCAACGCCTCCAATGGCTTCCGTAACACGGGTTACCCCACTCACCCTCTTTACCCCGATACTCTTACCTCCTTCACCCCCTCCCCCCTCCTTGCCCCCCCTCAACCATCGTACCCCTACAATCCCCCCCACATACCTCTCTCGGCCAATCCCACTGAGAAGGTGGGAGCAGCTAGAACCGATGGACGTGGCGGAGAAAAAAAACAAGACTACCGATTGCATCGAACGGGGACATCGAGTTGGTGACAAACCTACACTTCGACATAAAAACAGTATCGTTTATTCCACCACCCGCCCAGCACAAAAGGGTGCTCCCAACATAGAACGAACACGACACATGCACACACAACAACTTTTTCCCAGTATCAATTCTTACCAACACAGAAACAAACACGACGCCAGTGGATTCAAAACCCCTGGGCCGACACGATCACGATAAACTCCCATTCCCACAAACATATACCATACATCATCCTCGGTGCCTGCCTGTACACCACGATCACGACCACAACCCAACCGGACGCTACACTAGAACCACCTGACCTGTCTACCCGTACGTCGACTACAGAAGCACCTTGATCTCGACGGCACCCTGTCCGTCCGGTCGTCGTGATTCTATAGAGTACAAGACGATAAATAATGACCTCCACGGCAGGTGTTTCCGCCAAGAAAGACGCGGAAGTACCCAAGCACAACAATCGCGGCGCATCCGAGGGGGTGCCATCAAGAATAACCGACTCTTCGTAGATAGACCCCGACAAACGTTGAACCGACTCTGCGAAATCCAAGACATGGTAAGCATGAACGCACGTGACATACATGAGCGTGCCTTCATCACGCGCGTGGACATGACAAAAAATCGAGCATTCAACACATAGCCTATCTCAAAGGCCAGGTGGGACATTTGCATCGCCAAACTACCGTCATACTACGGAGAGATGGACCACTGTCAATTGTGTGAGTTACCATACCTAGTACCTCTTTTGCCACCAACATCTGTGATCCGGACCTTCCCTGCACTCCGGCTTTCCTCGCCCATGCCTGTGTTGTTAGAATGGTCCTTGAAACCTCGGTGTGAGGAAACTAGGGCTTCGGAGTATCTGTCGGACAACACACGCACACACGAGGGATGGTGCATGCGAATGTTATTAGTGTCACCACATCATTAGGAACCTACCTCTCCGACACATAAACAGTAGTCAGCGTGGCCGTCGGTGTGTGGTTAGAGGGTTGTCTTCTGGCTGACCCGTCCTCGCGAACAGCGATCGCCCCATGGCAAAGATTCAACGAGGAAGGAATGTTGTAGGAGATTTTTCAGCCACCCTTAGCGGCCGAAGCCGCTTCTATTTAGCGNTCGGTGTGTGGTTAGAGGGTTGTCTTCTGGCTGACCCGTCCTCGCGAACAGCGATCGCCCCATGGCAAAGATTCAACGAGGAAGGAATGTTGTAGGAGATTTTGCAGCCACCCTTAGCGGCCGAAGCCGCTTCTACTTAGCGGCCGAAGCAGCTTCTATCGGCCCGACTTTGGTTGGACGAGACAGCAGGGTGAGCGGCCATCAGGACTTGGGTGTGGGATACACTCAGAAAACGAGCAATGAACTTGTGTCCAAACGCGAGGCTACAAACCTCCATGCACGCATGCCAACGGAAACGCAAAACACCCAAACGCAAACGAGTGGAAATCTAGACGGTTCAAAAATAAAATAATCTAACAGCTCCAGCGGCGTGTGCGTAAGCCTCTTCTCACAATTAAATTGATGATGGTCTTCAACCCCACCTCGAACAGAAACAAGGTGGCCTCGTCCAACATGCCTCCCGCAGCGCAGCTCAACCCTCCTGACAAATGATTGTGACACAGTCGAGAGAGAGACAAACAGAGAGAGAGAGAGAGAGACGAACAAAGCGAAGCAGAGTAAAGGACCTGGGCGTGATCCTCCTGGCATTGTGGACGATTTATCACTTGGGCTGACAGGGATACGGCGCTTCAACCAACGCTAGTTAGTGTCTGAAACACAACATGTACGTAACCTAGTACCACAGTGCAACCGTTGAGGGAAAGGGGCCAGCAGACGGATCCCTGTGCTGCGTTGACGCACAGAGAGAAGGCAGGATCACAAAATTTCGCGGTGGGAGGTGATAAACTNAGCTCAACCCTCCTGACAAATGATTGTGACACAGTCGAGAGAGAGACAAACAGAGAGAGAGAGAGAGAGACGAACAAAGCGAAGCAGAGTAAAGGACCTGGGCGTGATCCTCCTGGCATTGTGGACGATTTATCACTTGGGCTGACAGGGATACGGCGCTTCAACCAACGCTAGTTAGTGTCTGAAACACAACATCTACATAACCTAGTACCACAGTGCAACCGTTGAGGGGACATAAGGGGCCAGCAGACGGATCCCTGTGCTGCGTTGACGCACAGAGAGAAGGCAAGATCACAAAATTTCTCGGTGGGAGGTGATAAACTTTCCAGCTTGTGCGCGAACATGCCAAGGGCTAATGTGGGCAACAACATATAAATAGGGAACAGTAAACGCTAAAGGCGAGAACCGAAGGAGGACAACGACGTGAAAAAACAAAATGCGACCTTCCTCTTGTCTGTCTGACCCCGGCGAATACATGATACATGACACATGACACATGAGACAGATACAAACACCGAGAGATGTTTCGACTGGTGCCAGAATCGAAGGGACGAACACACACACCTACACTTTCCATTGGTCAGCCGGTTTGCGCGATCGACGCAAACATGATAAAAAAAAAACTAGACAAGACGAGTGTAAGCTCATGCTCATCATCGCACGAACTAGTCGCAGGACGAAAGCCAGGATGTAAACAACGAGATAGCCAGGGGTGTTTCCGAAACGGTTGAAAACATTAAGAATGAAAGCGTACCGAGGCATGCCGCGCTTGCAGCACCCGCGGAGAGAGCGGGCCACGATAGGAGGGCCTCGCTGCATCGTTTTTGGTGCGAAACATCGTTTGGGCGCGCGAATGGGGGAAAAGGTGGGTTGAGCGGGGAGATCGGGAACACTCTAACACAAACAATTGAGATCGCCTGCGTCCCGATAAATTCACAANCTCGCTGCATCGTTTTTGGTGCGAAACATCGTTTGGGCGCGCGAATGGGGAAAAAGGTGGGTTGAGCGGGGAGATCGGGGACACTCTAACACAAACAATTGAGATCGCCTGCGTCCCGATAAATTCACCGCAAATATTGTTGGACGACTCCTCGTGTCCAGAAAATAATGATTTTGGACGATACGCACTTGCACAAACTCTCGAGGTGTATCTACTCTGTTTGTTGCCGGGCTACATGATGCCCCTTTTGCAGCAGAAAGAACGCGGTGTGAGAGTTTCAAGCGGTAATATACACACACCTTTCATCGGAGGACTGGGCCAACAAGCAGCTCCATGTTAAGCTTTCGGCAAAGCCGGCCGCATCATCTGCGGTAGCGGCTCCCGGCGTATCCGTGGTGAGTGAAGACAACAGCTTCTGGGCAAGAGCTAAACCGAAGGCGACCATGGTGAGCTTGTTCATGCTGCGGGACGTTTCTGCAAAACACGCGCGTACCGTAGGGAGGGGGAGGGAAGGGGTTGTACTCAAGGGTCGTCCACACCGTATTCGTTAGACCATTGACCTTGCATGCCTACAAAGCCGGGACGAAGCACACCGGGTTCTCACCGGACCAGGCTCTCACATTTCCAAGCGCGAAGCTCCATGAGGTATTCGGCGAGGAGCATGAAGGGTGCGCTGCGTCCTGCTAAGGGTGTTCGGCATCTTGAGCTTACTTCTTGGCGTACGGATGACAGCTGCGTATGACCTATTAATACTTTATTTTCTGGTGCTTTCACTTCCTGAGACAGTTACAAGCACTCACCTATGTAAGTAACTGCCTCGACGATGCTTGACCAATTTAACACAACGTCGTGCGATTATCCCCTTTGCGCGGAGTAACGAATCGGTTTTTTTTTGNTCACATTTCCAAGCGCGAAGCTCCATGAGGTATTCGGCGAGGAGCATGAAGGGTGCGCTGCGTCCTGCTAAGGGTGTTCGGCATCTTGAGCTTACTTCTTGGCGTACGGATGACAGCTGCGTATGACCTATTAATACTTTATTTTCTGGTGCTTTCACTTCCTGAGACAGTTACAAGCACTCACCTATGTAAGTTACTGCCTCGACGATGCTTGACCAATTTAACACAACGTGGTGCGATTATCCCCTTTGCGCGGAGTAAGGCGGTTTCTTATAATNTGGAGATGATGGGCCGGGTTGCTGTACATGTAGGCACCAATGGCACAGGAATGCCGGTGCGGAAGAGTAAGGGGAAAGAGAAACAGCAGCAACCGAAAGGTAAGCATCAAGGTACCA